ACTTATCCATCCACTTATCATTAATACTTTCAGGCATCCATCTGCCAATCCATGTACCTATCCACTCATCTACCCACCCACCATCATCTATTCATCCATCCACCCACTCTCCCAAACAATTATTCATCCATCCAGACATACACACATTCATCATCTAGCCATCCATCTAACCACAAGTTGCACATTTATTCATTCATTCATCCATTTATATACCTACACATTCATTCATTCATCAACTATCATAAATCCATTCGCCTGCTATCATCAGTCCATTCATCCATGCACCCACTGAGCCAAGTACCTATCCACTCACCCAAATACCTGTCCATTTATCTATCCATGAACCTACCCATCCATCCATCTACTCACACCCATGTAATCTGTGCATCTATGCATGTAACCATCTAGCCTTACATCTTTTTGGGGTTTTTTCCATTTATTCCTCAAAAACTGAGTGAGAATTTACAGTTTACCAGACCTCATACTTTGCTAGTGCCAACAAGATCAAGGACATATCCTAGACCCTCAAGAAGTTCAGTCTAGGTTTTCTCCATCACTCAAGCAAAGAAGGATTGTTGGAAAGCTCACAAATAAGTGGCAAAGGAGGGGCCTCTACTCGGACTTTTTTGGGTAAGGAGGGAGCCAAGAAGCTCTGCAAGATTCTTTTGTGAAGAGGTAACATTTCATACTCTCACCAGATTCCCTATACTCTTGTCAGCACTGGATGTTATCAACATTTTAAATTTTGGCTCTTCCATGGGTTAAAAACTTGTCATTTTAACATGCATGTCTCTATCAATGAGGCTGAGTTTTTTTCACATGTTTATTATTCATTTGTACATTTTGTTCTGTGGCTTGTTTGTTATGGTGGCAGATAATTTGCTTTATGTCTCTGGGAAGACTTTGTCAAAACCTAAAGAACAGAGAGCAATTCTCTAAACATTATTAAGTTTATTTGAGAGTAGAATTGCAATAGGAGTGTGAGTGCCATAGTAAACTATATGTGTATTCAAGCGGGTTGAGGCAAGGGGAACTTTTTAAAGACAAAATGAGGATTACACAAGTTATTTTGAATCCATGATCCTTGGCAACAAGGATCAACAACAAAGATAGTGTCAGTCCAGGGTGAGATGGGCAGTTGTTGGGCACACATCCATGCAAAAATATTTTCTGGATATGGTTTCTGTGGCCTTTCTGCAAGGTCATGTTTCTGGCAGAGTCCTTTGTGCTAGTTTCTATCAGGCATACATGCATGTGATCCCCTTTTTCATAAGCTCCTGGTCTTATTTATTACTGTATGTATTTCCCCCTACTCAGGGCTTGACACAAGGGACTAAATTTTGATTCTGACAACTTTCACACCTTTATCAGTCATTACATTTGGAATTAGCAGTTTGGCCCCGTGGTGCCTGCATTTAGTCAGGTCCCTGACATATCATTTATTTTGTTTAACTTGTTATTATGGGAAGTTCATGACTTTGCTCACTTTCTGTTTCCTTTTATAAAGCATCAGAGGAGGATGCACACATGTAGGTGTTGATCTATGTTTTCTACCAAACTGAACTTCATAACGGCAGGGATTGGGACCCATTTGACTTTGTGCTTATCTCTTGTACTGTTTAACCAAGTACTTTGAATTGAGATCTCAAAGTGTTTCCCTATGTGTTATTTATTAACCATAACGGCTTTTTCAAAAGTTCTATTTCAGTGGAGATATTTGGCAGACAGAGTCTTAAATAAATGATTGGAGCTAACATCACCAATAGGCGGATGAAATAACACATGTACTGAGGACCAAGATTTGTTTGTGTAGCAGTTTGGGACATAATGCATGGCCTGAATCTAATGTCTAATCCAATAAATTCCAAATGAGGAACATGCTGCAAAACAACTGGGTGGTACTTTCCAAAGCTGTCAGTGTCAGGAAAGGCAGACAGGTTTCAGATCTGTCTAGACTGACAGAAACCAGTCAGGACAGTTAATGTAACACACGTTCACAGGTTGGATCCTGAGTCAGAAAAATGTTTCCCTAAAGGATTTTCTTGGGACAACTGGGAATTTGCATATGAACTCCACAATAATAGTGTTGTGTCAAAGTTAAATTTTCAGTACTTGGTAATTGTACTGTAGTTACATGAAAGAATGTTTTTATAAAAATTAATGATGAAATATTTAGGGCTTACGGTTCATGATTCTGTAATTTATATTTATTAGTTCAGAAGAAATCCATTACAGGAGAAGGAGAAAAAGGAGAGAGAGAGAGAGAGAGAGGAAAGAGAGATGAGAGAGAGAGAACACAAATGTGGCTAAATGTTATTAATTGATGAATATAGGTGAAGGAGATATATGTACTTATCATGTTTCTTTTTTTTTTTTTTAAGTAGGTTAGGCATTTTCCAAAACAAAATGTACTTTCATGTATTGAGCAAGAGGATCAAGACCTCTCAAGTTCTATTGAAATTGAGTATCTTTTCTGAAGAGGGCCAAACAGGAGGACAGGTTTTAGCACCAGCCAGAGCATATCATCTGTGATATTACTGGAGATTCATAGTAACTCTCTGTGCCTGAGTTTGCATGTAAGGAGGCTTTAGGGTGTATTCTACCAGTTCATTAACATTATCTCATATGCTATCAACCCAGCATCCATTAATCTCAAACCAAGTTCAAACACAAGGCTGTTGCTGCTGCATACAGAAGGCAAGCACTTGGCCATGTTCCAGGAAATTGGCTATTCCCTAAACCACTGCCCCAACTCTTAGATTTAATCTGTGCCACACTCTGGTTTGGTTTTAGTGACTTATAGTAGACGTCTATGCTGATTGAATTAGCTGAATAATCCCTCTGCTCTCTACCCTGAGATGGTACAAAGAAAGGTCATTGTTTGCTAAAAGTGGAATTAACATAAATGAAAAAGGTGTGGTTCCCAATGCATGGGTGTGGTATGTACCTGACAGGGGCCAGGTGTCACATGGAGAAGCAGAAGGTCCAGAATCCACATGTGTCTCACCTGATAGCAACTGGGAACACTAAGAACATTCACTGCAAAGTTTTCTCAGGTTTCCAGGGCTGTTTTACAAAGCAGAGACTGTATCTATACTCATGCCTTCAGGAAACTGTGGGGGCTGCAGAATGGAATTTAAGATGCTTTTCTGCGAGATTAGGATGGCTGGGAGAGTGAGCTGGAGAGACTAGGAAAGCTGATGGTATAGTGCTGTTCAGTGAACACCAAGGAGGATGTGTCTGGGAAGCTAACTCAGAACTACATCCAGAAAGGACCTGAAAGTACAGTGAGAGCCACAGAAGGTGGTGGGCAAGGCGCATTCCTTTGGAGCCAGGAAACTGGCCAGCCAGGGCAACCAGAGCAGCTCTGCCACAGATGCCTGCCCTGGGCTCAGCTCAGAGGGTGTTTGGCTCATGAAGAAAATGCAGAGATTTCTAGAAGACAAAGGGTGAATATGAAGGAAGGGCCAGAACATAAGGACTTGGATAAAGAATCCTGCTCATGGAATACTGAGTCTGGAGAAGAGTTGAATATAGGATTCGGCTAACTAAACCAAGCCCACGAACCAAGCCTATTTTAGATGCAGAGGATGGTGAACATTTCTGGGTTCCTCCCCACAAGAGGAGAGAGACAGGGACATTAATAGTCTCTCTTGCAGTAAAGGGTGGAATTAGATGGTGGCTCCAGTTGTGTGGATTTCATAGTCTCCAGTATGATCCAGAAACCACAGTATTGGGCAGCGACACTGAATTGCTGACTTTTCGTTTATTCAAGTCAGGAAGATAGTTAGAAACCTCAAGTTTGCCTCTGTGGTCACTGTCATTTTAGAAAACAGGGAGTTTCCCACCACCATAGCACCTGGAAGGTCTGATTCTTAGAACAGAGGACAGTGTTTCACCCTGAATTTCTTTGGTTTGTAGGAGCATATTGCCTGATTTTTCTCTTTTTTTTGCTTCAAACCAATGCAAAGGTCACCTCACCTCAGAGCCACAGAGTCAGTGGCTTCACTAGAGTAATTAACCCAGGGGGCTAAAGGACCCTCACCTGTTGGCTCCTTTGTCACCAACTGGAGAGTCCTCACTTTGTAATTAATGAAATGGGGATGGCTTTATCAAATGTTAACAAAGAGACTGAGGTGATTGAAGGCAGGTGACTCCTGGACTTAATGCAGTGATTTGATTTGATTTGTGACCTTTACTCCCCATTTTAAGCAGAAGAATGAACAACTATAATTGTGTACTGTGTTATTTTTTCCTGCATTTAACCTCTGACATTACCTCTAAGTGAATGCCTTCTCTTCCCAGGAGAGGGCTACCTTGGTTACTCATGTAATTCTCAGTTCTTCCCTCCCTTCCAGAGCTGACATTTTTAGCTGAAATGAAAAATGGAGGGGTGGGGGGGATGTAGCTAAAATTGCAGGATCCTTTATTTCTTGTCTCTGGACCAAAGAACTTCCCTTTTGTTTCAGAAGAAACAGAGCTGTCTGGATAGAAGGATTTCAAGATTCTGACCCATTCCCTTTAATCGAATGTCGGAACACACTGAGATTGACTCCTCCTTTTCCAATCTACCCCACTCCCATGGGGCAGCAAGAAACAGAGGAAACTGACTCTAATCAAGGGTGGGCAAGACTGGGCTAAGGTGAAGGATTTCCCTTGCCAATCACTGGGTGACCAATTCTGGCCAATGACATCTGAGATTTTCCTCTGGAAGCTTCTGAGAAAGTTCTTTCCCATTTCTTCAGATAGTAAAAATTTCTTCTTCCTTGTAAATGTGAAAGAAGATGCTTGCCATTCTGAGTGAGACAGTCAGCTGTCTTATACCCAAAAGTGAATAGTTGTAGAATGAAGCTGTTGAAACTGATAGAAATGGAGCAATAGGAAGATACTAGATTTTAGTGACATCATAGGCATCCTGGTCAGCCATCCTTGACATTTCATCTACCTTGAATTTTGTATTTTATGAGCCAGTGACTTCCTTTTGCTTAATCCAGTTTGTGCTGGGGTTTTGTTTCTTGCAGCCAGAGCCTCCGGAGTGATACTCTACCCTCCTTCACCTCCTGCCTCATTTAACTTGAATAGGTATGCTTTCTTCTGCTTCTTGAGAATTCCTCTACCACCTCTTCGCACCTTCTCTGGGGGCTTATGTGTATCTCTGTGTGTGCATAGACAGACTGTTGAAAAACTGATGAATGCATTGTTCCATTTTCTTCCTGAGTCTCCCAATATTTCCTATCTCCAAGTTGGGTTGTTTGAACTCCAAATCCTCCAAGTCCTCGTTCAGATATCACCTTCTCTGAAGAGTGTTCCTGAGGGCAATTGATTGTACTCACATTATGCCTCCACTGTGCACTGATTAAGGGGTAGGGTAGCCAGCCAGGCAGCTTCTAAGGAATCAATCTTAGAACATGGTTTCAGTTGTGCGTGACAAAGACCTAATACCATAGCTTACCCAAGACAAATATATATTTCTCACTTTTGAGTGGGAATGTGGTTTTTTCCATGAAATTATCAGTTTATAGTACTTTCTTTCTTGTGGCTCCACAACTCTAGCCTGCTACCCTTGTGTGTACGGTGTAAGATGTCTGGCCATCACGTCCTTGTTTTGGCCAGCAGAAGGGGACAAAGGGAAAAGGGAGGACCTTCTTCTTCTCCCCTTTAAGGACACAACCTTAGTTCTGCCCATCCCATTGGTTAGAACTTAGCTAGCTGCAAAGGAATCTGGGAAATGTAGTCTTCATTTTAGCCATTGGAAGTCTAGCTAAGAGCTTACTTACAGTGGTAGAGGAAGGCTTAGGTATTGGGGCCAGCTCTGTTTTTCGCAAACATCATTGACATAAATCACAGATTGGTGCTAGCTAAGGCATTTTTCCACAAATGACTGCTTATACAGCAGGTAAAATGTAACTTAGTTTCATTCCCACCATTAGAGAAAGCCAGTAGAGTGGAAAATTCCTTGCTGGTGCCAACCCAACGAGTGACTCTACACTAGACACAAGCAAAGCACAAATCAACATCAGGCCACACCCTTTAGCTCAAGACTCTAGTAACAGCGACCTGAAGCTGACATCTCAGGGAACCAAAATTCTGAAACCAAAATAATGCATGGCAGAATTCTATTTACTGTGAATGAGGAATTTCTTTTATTTTATTTTTTCTGGTACCAGGAATCAAACTCAAGACCTTGCACTTGCCAGACAGGCACAGTGCTACTGAGCTACAACTCTGGCCCTGAGCTACATACTCAGCCCAAGGAATTTCTTTCATTATCTATATTTATACAATCTAATATAACTACACTCTCCAAACAATACTTGCCTGATTTGGTAATTCATAGAACAAAACAGAAAGGGAAAAAAATTACTACAGCAACATAAAAAAAAAATGTCCATTTGGCAGGAAAATATGAATGAGAATTTTCAGTTGCACTTTGAATGAGACTTTGTGGCCACATCCATGCAGAATACCTCTATCCTTCGTGCAGATAAAGCACTGATGCTCTCTAGTTTGGGGTGTGAAAAATTTGTTGAGAAAAGACAGTGTCAAGCAAGCTGTGACATTCTGCTTAGTTCATTCTGCTCGTGCAACACGTTGTTTATTTCAGCCATAAAGAAAAGGTATGATATTTTTGTTAATAATAAAAAATCATTTATTCTACTGCTCTAATCATTAAACAAATATTTAAATGTGTTACTTTGAAAGGGGAGTTGGCAATTAATTAATAAACCTGCTCCCAGGTCAGCCACTGTCTTTGTTGGATCATGGTAGACACTGGATGTTCACTATTTGTTAATAGCTCTCTCTCCCCAGTGGGACCTAAGATCCCTAAGGTCAAGAACATGCCTTGAATCTCAGTCCTCCAAATACTAGGAGCTATGTGTCAAGCCCTGAGAAGGCTTTCTTTGCAGTGTCTTCTTATCTACAAGCTTCCTTTACCCAGTAATTTCCAAAAGGTGGGATGAAATAGGTCCTTATTGTTCTCATCAGTGGGACCACAGTCCTATTTCCCCAACTCACCTTTGTAGAACACATTCAGACAACCTTAGCATCTAGGCGAAAGTTTCTATGGTCAAGTCCAAGGGAGTCTCTCTGCTTATGGCATTCACCTTTTGGAAACTCATAGCATGAATATGAACACCAGAGGCTCACAGAAGGCTTATTGTAAATAACTTGATTTAACTTTTTTCATCACAATGTGTCCCAAACTTACATAACCATACTTCTTTTAAGCTATATTCTTTTAAGTTATTTTCTTTTAAATGAGTACTCTTATGACATGTTTTCGGCACCCAGGGAAGTAGAGAAGATAGCATGGTAAGTACTCTGGGTTTTTTTTTTGTATTGTGTTCAATCTTAATATTTGGTCATATGACTTCAAATTTCTAAGAAATTCAGCAGCCTCACACACTTAGAAAGTGATAAGAAGTCTATAGTGGGCATTGGTGGACTACTAAGAGGGCTTCCCCATCAGGCTGGGTCCACATTCATACCTCTCACCAATGTCAGTCAGCCCTCCCCAAGCATTGTCATGGCAACATTATCTTTCCTCTGGAAAGCTTCCCTAGCTCCTTATGGCTCCCCAGGAAAATTCTTCAGTTCTTCATCCCTGGGGTCCCCTTTTTCTGATCTCAACATTCACCTTCTGAACTATGAGACTTTCTTATGGAGAGTGCATGTTGTTGCTGAGTCCATGGCTTCTTTCAATCTCTCTGGCCCACCTCTCTTGCCTTTAGTAAAGTCAGCCCTTTATTGAGGTCACTGTACAATGGCTCCCTCCTTCATGATCCTACACTGGGTCATCTCATCCCCCTGCATTGCTTGAGGCTGCGTGGTTCTACAGGTTCCTGTGGTACTATGGGGTTTTTGGCTACTATTATGTTCAAGCTGTTTGGGGGCAAGAACTCGGCCCACCTCTCTTGCCTTTAGTAAAGTCATCCCTTTATTGAGGTCACTGTACAATGGCTCCCTCCTTCATGATCCTACACTGGGTCATCTCATCCCCCTGCATTGCTTGAGGCTGCGTGGTTCTACAGGTTCCTGTGGTACTATGGGGTTTTTGGTTACTATTATGTTCAAGCTGTTTGGGGGCAAGAACTCTTGTTTCCTACAGCTTTGTACTGTGTAGCCTTGGTCACGGCTGGAGCCTTGCTAGATGATGGTTAAGTGAATGAATTAATGAATGGATTCAACACATTATGTCTTTGGATGGTTTTGAGGGCTAGGATTGGGAGAGTGGGTTGGAAGAAAAAAATCTTGAATGACCATATGCAAAGTGATTGGTGAAGATTTGCTATGGCAAGTATTTTAGATGAGAAAACCATTGGAACCATGGCTTGCGCAGCAAGAGGCCACCCTCAGAGGCATGAGCAGGGTCAGGTTGGGGAACAAGGTAATTCCAGGCCCAGGGGATGAGGTAGCTGTGGACAGCTCACAGAAACAAAGGTGGAAACTACATTTACTGATGGGAATCCAGGAGACAAGATTTGGGTTGCAAAAGGGATTTGGGGATGCCTCAAAAAGTTAAGCCTAGAATTGTCATATGACTCTGCAATTGTACTCTGCTACACACCCCAAAGAATTTTAAATAGTTATTCAAATGAAAATGTGTATTCACATGATCACAGTAGGCAAAAGGTGAAAACAACCCAAATGCCCATCCATGTGACATGTGGATAAACAATTTGTAATATAATGATACAGTGGAATATTGTGCGGCATTAAAAACAATGAAGCCCTGACACATGTTACCATATGCATGAACTTTGAAGACATTATGCTGAGTGAGAGAAGCCAGACACAAAGATTACGTGTTATGTGATTCCACTTACATGAAATGTCCAGAATGGCAAATTCATTGAGACAGGAAAGAGAGTAATGATTGTCAGGGGCTGAGGAATAAGGAGTAAGAGTAACTCTTGGTAGAGTCTCCTTCTGGGGTGAAGAGAATGTTCTGGAACTTGAGAATGGGTACACAAAATTGGAAATATACCAAATGTTATTGAATTGTACACTTGAAAATGCTTCCTATTGAATTTCATCTCAGTGAAAAGAATAAATTAATTTTAAAAGGGGAATAGATTTGGGAATCCCCAGTCTGGGGATCATGATGGTTCCTATCAGGGTAGCATCAAAGAGGAGAGATGACCAGGAATCTGAAAGTGGCAGGGAAGCCAGAGTGGGAGGTCCAGAAGCACCCAGAAGAGGAGGATATTCAGAGGCTTTGGGAGCTGGAGGAGGTGTGGGTGATGCAGTGGCTGATTGACTGGACATGGAAGAGCAGCCAAGGCAAACAAAGCTGCAGGAAAGACTTCAGGTTGAATTAGTCAACATATCCTTACTGAACACCTGGTATGTGTCAGGTTCTGTACTAGTCACTGGGATTTCCATATTTTTTTGAGGAAGAGCCATTAGCCAAGGGCTAGGAGTGAAGCCAGGTCATGGACACTTCTGTCAGGGACCTGTGGAGAGGAAATGAAAACCCCCAGATTGAGGGACAGGGGACTAGAGGTAAATAGGGCTGCAGATCAGGTAAAAGTGTCCATGTTAAGATGATGGGTTCAGAGGATCATTGAAGACAAGAAAGACCCCAAAGGAGGAAGATAGTGAGAAAACCAGATGCATAAGTGTTAATTAAAAAAGGGAGGCCTCAAAGGGCCAACTGAGCCCAGCCTGCGATGGGCCGTTGGGCTGATTTCAGGGTTGCTATGTTGGCTGAAAGGTGGGAGCTATAGCTTTATTGCTTGCTGGCTCTCAGGGGAGGTGGCCTGGAAGGATGAGGTGAGCATTAAATGCTTTTAGTTTCTCTAAGCTCCTTTTGGGTGTCCTGTTACTGGCTGCCAATCATGCCTTCATTCCTGAATTACCTGACTGAGGGGACACCTGGCAAATTGTAACCATTGTTATCAGATCACTGAGGCTCAAAATAAGCCCAAAGGTTTGAAGAATGTCACGATAGTTTTGATGTCTCACTGCTACCACCCTGCTGGCCAACAAGCCCTGGCATATGTGACTCCATTCTGTCCAAAACTAATTCAGTGCTTAAGAATGCGAGCACTTTCCAAAGACCATCTGTTTACGCTTCT